CACTAATAATCTCTTGATATTAATTCTAAGGTCTTATAGTATCCAAAATATCATGTAGTTGGAAATTATATTGAGCTTAAAGATCACGTCATTGTAATTTACGTTCTAGAATATATAAGCATTCTATATAATAGTAAAGATTATTCTTAAATTTAAATTTAGAAATATCATAAAATTTAGAATAATTATTTTTAATATCATACATAAGAAGATTTGAAAATATATTTAATTAAATTTGATTAATAAGACATTTAAAAAAAGCTTATTTTTATTCTAACCAATAAGTGACGGTAAATAAAAAATTTCACAAAGATATGCTTTAACAAGTTTAATCACAATTTAAAATATATATTGAAATAAAATACTTAAGGTTCTTATGATTCGTATAAACATTGATTTTATTATAAGTGCTTTTTAGATAATGGTGTCATTTTTGAAAAAAATCTATAATTGCATATTAAAAATTATTATAAATAAAAAGCTATATAGTGAAGTTTTTCATGTCCTTCTATTTGTGAAAATATATCATTCAAGGCAAGATTTGATGTGTCTATTTCCATAAATAATGTCTTCAAAAAATCAATATTATATAAGATTGGAATTGTAGTAAAAGTTGTATTTAAAGCTTTAAATTTTATTTTTTATTTTTTATTTTTTTATTCTATCTATGTTTGTCTTTAAAATTCAAATATATGAATAAAGCTGCAACCTTAAGAATTATTTTTAGACAAAAATCTGATAGTAATTGACAAACTCTAAAAAATATGGCACATTTTTTTTTTTGTTCTTGAAATCTTCTAATTTATAATAATTGAAACTTTCTTAAGATTTAACATGAGACTATCATTTAAAATAATGTATTCTAAAAATTCAACATGAATTGTATAAAATATATTTCTTTATTTAAGCATATAATTTTGCATCTCTAAGTTTTTATAATACACAACAAACTTAAATTTTATGCTCTTTTGTATGCTTAGACTAAATTAAAATGTTGTTCAGCTAATAAACAACCAAATCATCTACTGTTCTTTAAAAATATCATTAATTGGATCTTGAAAAGTAAATGGAACATTTGTAAGTTGTAAAGGCATGACAATATATTCAAAATGTCCATACATAGTTCAAAATACAATCTTCTATCCATTTTGTTTTTTTTTATCCACACCAGTTTATATGTTTCTTGTAAATATGTTTTTATATAGATCTTCATTTAATTAATTTTTTTCAAAAATCCATAATATGAAAGCTAAAGAATATCCATTCTTGATGTTTATCTTATAAAGTCTTTAATAATTTATATACATCCATAATGATCCATCTTTTTTCTTTACAAACAAGATAGATGCTTTAACTAGAGATTTTAAAGAACATATGAAGTGTTTGTCTAAATTCTCATTAATTTATTATTTAAATAAAAAAAGTTCATTTTTGATAAGTTATAGGTTGATTTGAGTAAAGAGTGAGTTTTTTCATGAATATTAATTGAACAATCATAGGAACAATGCTCTAAAATAATATTTATATTTTTCTAGTAAAAAACAAATTGATAATCCTTATACTTACTTGAATTTTGATTGAAGTTTTTTTACCATTAAACATAAGTGTGGCAAAAATAAAAAAAAATGGTCCTTCTTTAACAATATGCATGAAAGTTCTTGCACCTTAAAAATAAGGATTTTACTATATTACACTTATGTCTTTCTACTTAATTAGTAAAAATCTTAATTATGTTATGAAAAAAATTAACATGATAAAATAATTCAATCTATCAATGGATTATATTTTCTTAGCCATGATAAACCTAAAATGACTAGGTTAAAGAAAGATCTAATAATATTAAATGTTACTAAGTTATTATGAGAAATTATTATTATACCTATAAAAATATTTTTATACACAATAATAATTTCTAAAAAATACAAAATGACCATCTATGATTTATACATTTATGAATTTAAGTTTTTTTTATTAAAAATATACTATGTCTTTTAAAAAAGTCTTTATGTAATATAATAAAATAAATATATTCAATACTTTTAAATATAATAAAATAAAGGCTTTATAATTTTAAAATCCTAAACAAAAAACTATTGTAAAACAAAGTGAAGGTTTTGAAGTGAAAATAAGACCTTTATCAAGTGTTGCATAAGATTCTAATAATATATATATTTTTATTATAGTTCAATAATTATTATTTTTTATTTTTTTATTTTTTTTAATATACCAATTTTACTAAAAGCTATGCTCTTCATTTTTTAGTTGCATTATTTCTTTGTACAATATTGAATAATATGCTTAGGTTCTCTACAATATAAGAAAAATTCATTTGGAAATTATTGAGTCTTTTCTTATTTAGTGAGAAGTTTAAAACATTTAGCATCAATTTGCATAGGTTTTGATGTTAATAAATAAGTATTTAAAAAATTAGGAATTGTTACCATGACTTGATTTGTTCATCTCCTACCAAATCCATATTTTTGGTACCTTTCAAAGAGCCAATTGTTGCATATAATAACTTGAGTAATAAATTATTTTAATAAGTTTTTTTTTACGGCTAATAATAAATCTTTGATATTATTTTTTAATTTATATCAAAATTGGTTAATAGGAAATTTATTGTTTCAATCCATGTTGCAAGTAAGGCTTTGGAATTTTGCTTCATAAATAGTAATTAATTATGATTCTTATTGTAAACATAAGAATTTTATTACTGCTATTATTTTTTAATCATTCTTTCCAAATGTAGATATAAACACTTCCAAAAATACATTTAGATCATATATTAGTAGTGACTTTTTTTCCATCAAAGGTAAAAAATAAAAGTGAGTACTTCCAAATAAGTGAGCTTTTATAAATCTAATTTGAGTAAATATGTCATAGTATTAAAAAGAGTGTAACCTTAAATAAAATTTAACTTATTGTAAAAACCCTTAAAATTTTGATATTATTTCATCAAATTTCTTCCAACATACTAATTTTTTTCTCTTCTATATTTGTAGTAGCAAGAATTTTTGGATTTATTTGTAGGGTTGATCTACTTGTTTTTTTTCAATTGTGCAACTTTATAAAATAGATAGTTATTTATCTATCTGTATTATATTTTTATTCTATAAATATAAAAATAATATTTTTTTCTTGACATTATTAATTTATAAAATTTTGATCCTAAAAATATTGAAAATTTTGTAAAAATTAACAATAGTTAAAAATTTATTCTTACTTCTATTAAATTTATTAAATTATTAACTATTATAAATTTATTATTTTAAAAAATTCTATAATAGAAAACTTTAATAAATCTATATTTCAAATAAAAAGAGGATAATCAACAACTTCTAATATCAAATTATTTTTTTAATAAAAATAATAATTTATTTTTAAAAAATATATAAAATTTGTGTTGAAAAAATAATAAATGGTAGTTTAAAGTTGGAAAGTTTATGATCTTTAAAATAAAAAAATAAGAAGTAGAGTAATATATTCAATTCTAAAATAAAATAAATATAAAAAATTAACATTCTTGTTAAAATGTCAAGGACATGAATTATACTAAAATTCTGAAGAAACAATATACTTTTGTGATATTCAAAGAGAGAAAGTAGACAAATCAAAGATAGATATAAGATAAAAACTAGAATGAGTATTGTCCAATACAAAGAGACTAAAGATTCTTGAACTAAATGAAGAATACAAGAAAGGCATTAACAAAAGTAAGGAAGGCATCATTCTTACCTCTATGTATATTATCTAACTAAGGTATTATGTGGTGACATTTTATAGGTCATTTAATACATGTCTAATTTGCGTGACACATGTCTAATTTGCAAGGCAAGTTTTCAACATATACTACTTGTGGCCAACAAGCTGGTCAAGTTTCTAACTTACTAATAACCTACAAACATTTAGAAAGTCGAATCTCTCTCTATTAAGCTTCTTTACAAGATATTATCAAATTTATATACTTCCAATTACTTCTATATAATTTCTTTTTTTTTCCTAAAATAAGTGTATTTGTAACACATTATTGTTTTAAAAAGATGTATTAGTAATATCAGTAATACTAATAAATATAATTAACATGTTAATTGGATATCTACTTTACATATCTATATGTGATACATTCAAAATTGTCATATATATCAATTGCATAAATTAAGTTGTAATGTTATAAAATTTATAATATAATTTTCTAGTAGATTATTTAATTTTTTGAAATTAAATAATGCTCACTTAAAATGTTCAAATGATTATATCATTGAAGAATCAAGTATCCAATATTGTAAAATTCTACAAAGGTAATAAAATGATAGTAAACATACAAGCATTTTACTAGAATTCTAAATTTAAAACCAGTCAAGAGCAAACAGCTTCACTACAGAAAAAATCAAAATGATGTGAATTGAGAGCCGGATGCCAATTTGTTGTACATTTGTGGAATGTCTACAAGAGAAAAACAAAAACACACATGAAAAAATTACCAATTACCGATGATCCAAATAAAATGAGATTCAAGCAGCAAGAGAATTTAAAAGTCATGAGACTCCGAATCTGGCAGGAAATAAAGCCTTCAGGGGGGGGTTGCAGACAAAAGAGGGGTGAAATGAGGAATGTACCAGAAGCGAATGAATGCGGGGGCCACTGCTGTCGATGGAATCAGTGTCGTGGTCTCACACACAGATCGAGGCGGCGCCGGGTAACAAAAAGCCTTCCTCCAGTGCCAGAGTCTTCACGCGGGGGGGGGGGATATCAGCTTCACCAGATGCGTCGTCGCTGCTCTCACTCTGACCCCCTTGACACTTACGACCATTTTCACACAACTGTACTAGACCTAGCGGAGTGTTTCTGCAAAGTGGACGTAGGCTGGGAACTGATGCACTTTGGCGGCCGCCAATTCAGCTCTTCATTCCCTATTCTCTTTCCAGCTGGACGGCGATTCAGTTTCTCCTGCCCCTGCTGCTGCTGCTCGCTTCGAGGTGAACCCGTGGTTGTACCTTTTGTCCTCTTCGTTCTCTTGACGCTACCAATCCCTCAATTAGTCACGCTCATTCTCGATGACTTTCTAGTGAGAGGAGTTTCAGCTGACGACGCTGTGGACCTGGAGCTGACACTGGTGTGGACACTGCGCGCTACTTCCTTCTTATAATGCTGCAAGACAATAGGTTCATTGTTTGCCATATGGATGAGCTTCTTCATCCGCTTGATTGGCCTAGTTGCTTACGGTTTCGGTAGTATTGCTGTTCTTTCTTCGGAAGGTGGAAGCACTTATACGTCGAGTGGATATCAGAGCTTCTGTTAGTTGGCTTTGTTTGATTTTTATTTGATTTGATTTTTTTTTTTTTTTTTTATCACTGTTGTTGCTGCTGTTCTTGTTTGTTTTTTTTTAGTTTGTTTTAATATATTCTTGAAACGGAAGCTGTGTACTCGGTAGCAGATTGAAACACGATATTGCGGAGTGCCGTCTGCTTGGAAATTGTCGAGAGTGTGTGCTTTACATTGTGGACCTCATGCGCGGCGACAAGCACTCTCTCATCGAGTGTCACTGGTCAGTGCTGCGGTCATTGCTCTCCGCCGCCTGGCAGTCATCATTTTCTTTTTCTTTTTCTGTCAGCTTATTCGTGTGCGGGTCTTTCCTCTACTGTGCTATGATAGCTCTGTGGTGACGATTTCGTAGCCTGAGCGACAGGATGGGAACTGACAGGAAATTCAAGCTTCGATTATGTTTGACAGCGCTTTAGTACTGCCGTCGACGAGCATAAGGCACTTCTCATTTTTTTCTCCTTCGGCTGCTGTCGCTTGCTTCCTTTGCCGCCATTGTTCTGTTTCGACTGAACGCGGGTAATGCCTGGGGTACCTTCTTCGTAATCACAAATTCCATTTTCCTCATATGTCACTGTATCTGTGCAACTATCTGACTTCTATTTCGCGAAGGTGATGATTTGAGTCGGGTTTGAAGAAACAGGAAGCGAGAGGGAAATGTAGGGGACAGAGCAGTAGAAAACGCTTGGTTTCGCTGCAAGGTCATCGGTGCCCTACAACGCGTTGGGTGGAGTCCATTTTTTAATTGGACATCGTCTTCAAGTTTTATGGAAAGTTTTAGTTGATATGTGTATCTTTCCCGATTAGGTTTGACAATAGTGCTGTGGCTTACCGATCATTGAGATATTTGCATTGGAACACCATTTTGCATTCCCCAACCTTCCCCTTCCTTGATTTGTCGGCTCCTCTGAGTTTTGGAATCGTACGACAAAAGTTACATGCAAAAAGTAACAACTAATTCGACTCCAACGAGAGGGAAGACATGTAGCTAATGAACAATCGATTCATCAATGACTATAGTCATCCGATGATGGTAATAAGCAGTCATAAGATACCTTAGGTTAGCATCACGTGCTTGCCAAGTCTACGAAATTCTATGAGAGGAGAAATGGGAGAGCGTTCGCACATGCGTTACTCGACTCTTGCATCTTGTCAAGACTCTAGGCGAGACCATTCTACTTCGTTCTCTGGGCTTACAACTGCGGCGCACGAGGACCTCCGCTACCGTTTTGAGCTTCCGGAGGACGTGCCATGGAAGTCCATCGCTTTAGCCGTCGTCTTGCTCGCGTTCGGATGTTTCTTCCTGATCATCTCGCACTTTATCTACACCCAGCACATGGAGGGGGATTCCTCTCAGGCTTACGGATTCCTGGTGGCCGGCATCCTTCTTTTCCTACCGGGCTTCTACGAGACCCGAATCGCCTACTACTCGTGGCGCGGCTGTAAGAGCTATTCTTACTCGTGCATTCCTGCTTATTGATGCAACAATGATGGACTTACTCAACTTTTTGTGGACGGCTAGGGTACAAGGTTCCATGTTTTTTTTATCCCTCTTCATATAAATTCTGTTAGAAGGTTTAGGTGGTCGCCGTGCCGCCACTTAATATCATATTGTTTGTGGTCATGACAGCTGTTGTGTCTTCCTGCGATAGCCACGAAGAACAAAATATCAGCTTCACTCGGGAAGGTTGTGTTTGGTGCCGGAATAGTGCAGGGTCATGCTTTTTTCGTAATAGTTCATCATGTCGCACATTTACCGTCATCAATACAAACGTCGAAAGCCGAACTAGACATTAAAATAGGAAACCGTCTCTACTTCTCAGTTTTGTTTCGGACAGATTTTCATTATATGACGCAATGGCGATGGGCAATTCAGCTACGACGTTTAGATTTCCATGAAAGGTCATTGCTGCTAGTAAAAGAGTACTTACCAATACCGGGAACGGTATCTGCCATGCAACTCTTTTGCAAAGTCGGCTTAGCGCGATAATACCTGCCATTGGGAGCAGTAAGAACGCTACAAGAAGGTCGCAGGATTTGCAATGGTTGTGCAGAATTTTTAATTTTTTTATTCATGAATGCCACAATTTTTTTGGTTCATTTTCTTGGTAACTCTGGGAGTGTCGTTGAATGAACATTGCATACTTACAAATAAATGTTTCAAAATTCTTCGTCGCAACAAGCTAATTGATGGCAATTGAAGTTTTACTGGTGGATTTGGAGGAGCTAATTGCGTAAATGTAACAGTGTCTATGAGTGGGATACCCCTGTCGTTGAGACTCGACCATGGAGACATGGTTTGATTATCGGCCTCGCAGTTTCCGAAGCTGCGCTGACCCATTTTCCAACCTCGAGGCGTGAAATCCGGATTGAATAGAACAACTGGTTTCCGTTCGTCTTTGAAGAATGTACCTTTTCTCTGATGATCTGGTTAGAAGTATCATTCTGTCATCAACAATCCTGCCGAACAATGTAGTTCAAGACGGTGGAGCCGCTGCTTGGTAATTTCTCACGATTTAAGCTAGTGAATTTCCAAGTCTGACGTTTGGGATTAATCACAGGCTATACGATGTCCTCCCTGCAAGCAATTGCTGGATATTGCACATGCTAAGATTCTTCTGTGTTGTCATTCTGGCTAAGCATGTGGTGAGAACCTTGACAAAGCAGTAATAGTCATAACAATCGTCATAGGCACATGCAATCTCCTGGAAAGCTCTCTGCAGAAATTGCGGCCTTACGTTGTTGACTGAAGAACTAATATACAACCTGGACTCCAGGGTTTTGAACTTTAGTGTAGGGAAATCTCGAGACGATCCAACTTTATTGGCAGGAGGATGAGGGTATACACATTTGAGATCGGAGATGAGTCTTGATTACGTAGAGTGGCGGTGTACATTGTAACTTTAGGTACACATACCAGCTAGTTGTAGTCATATGTCACTTCTTTCTGCAGACTGTTGACCGCTGCCAGTTGATTTCACCCTCATTTACTCAGAAGTAGTAGCGCCTCAAAGCAATCATGGATAGATGAGTGTAAACTATCAAGACACCATCAACCTAGAGCAAAATCAGAATACTTGCAAGGTGACGTCTTGCTTTTGGAAATATATTAATTTTATCACATTTACGTTCCATATTTTCATAATTCTTTAGTGGCTTATTTGTCTCCACTCCGCGGCCTTAATGATCTGAGGGGTACTTCGGAAATTATGGTGAACAATCTATCTGCGATAACGACGAAATATGAGACACAATCGATATCAACTCGTACACAACATTGCATCTCGCTTCATCTTCCTTCTAATTAGATGAGTTCACACATCACAATAGGCCAACACTGGCTTGAGGAACTATAAAATCAATTTAAATGAAGCATTCTTAACATTCAACAATAATGTAAAATAGTCAATCAAGCCAATACCAATCCAATGTTGTGTTGCATCAAAACGAAAATCACAATTTTAATACTAAAAAATGAATTACTTGACCCAAACGCTCAGAAAGTGGCTTCTAAACATTTACTCGGACACGTCATCAAACTTCCAGGGTGCTTCAGGGTTCCACTCGTTTAGAACACCCCAAAGCATCTCCTCCATCTCTTCAAGAGAGTCGACATTTCTACAATCTTCCCGCTCCTTAAGAATTTCACCCATGGCATCATGTTCATGTAGCAGACAGTAGCACCTACATGGACCACATTCCCAAGTTCCACAGTCAAAATCATCGTAATGGCACTCGATTAGTCTATTGTGCAAAAGGGGACTGTTGGGATGCAACCGAGGCTTGAATTCAATTATAATAGATAGGGTGGTGCATACATTGCTCTATACGATGGCCGAGTGTAATCTTTGCGTGAATCATTCCACGTCGAATTGGGTATAGTCAAGGGAAGTCCATAGGCCATCAATGCAATTTTCATGAAAAGCGGCTCCATCTTGAAAACGCTCACATGCATAGCCAAGAACTCATACAAAGGATCCCCTGCACATATGAAACAGCATGGAAGCAATTTTAGCCTTTACACTAGTTTCAGTTTGAAAGTAACTTGAATTTGAAACATAGCGTGTTCGTTTCACAATCTATAAGACTTTTTGTAAGTTAGTTTTTTGCACTCATGTAGACAAAAAATCTTAATTCTATAACTTACAAAGGTAGCCTTTAGCAGCCTCCACCTGATGATTCTTATGTAGCACACTTACCAAGCGTCACATCCCCAAAGTCCAAGATGTATCGAGGTTGCATTGCCCGACAGTTGCGTATTTCCTGTGTAAAAGGTAAGCAACTGAATTACATTGCTGAGGAATCCACACATCTGCTTCCAAAATAAACTTTTAAAGTAGGTCAACTCGTTTACAGGACTATCCCCATTATCCAACTTTGAATATTTTATCTTATTAACTTCCTGTGGTAGTTGCTGTAGTTGGCGAAGATGACAGACCTTGTTTACACAGGCGAGCTGACTGAGGTCAAATAACCCAGGAATTTGTTTGTCCTCAGAATATGGAATCATCTGAATGTTGTCTGCCATGATATCCATATGTAGCCATACAGGAGGCCGCACACGTCGAGGCGATCCACACTGGACCTGCGATGTAAAATCTCAGACTGGTCAGTCAATCGTAAAGCTTGACACATGGATAAAGGAGCGATTTACACTTAAGTACTGATAAATGTACCTTCTGTAAGCCAACCAGAACAGCTGGGTCTTCAGGAAGATATGTCTCCAACTGTTCAAGAAGCTTAGGGGGTAGTGATTCCCTAAACAGGACACAGCACATTAAGTGAAAAACTTTAGGTGCTAAAAGCTTTTTTTCTCCAACTAATTTAAGACTAAAGCATCTCGTTTACAAAAGCATTACATGTTATAAGTTAAGCGTCCCTGTCTTACCAAATCTCAAAACGCTCCAAGATTTTCGCACGTTGTTGTCGCATCAATCCGACAAAATAGTGCCATTCCATTGGAATATCAGCATGCAACTCCTTCTTTTTATCCATGTCACCAGTACTGATCCCAGTTTGCAAAAACATTTCACTGCCGACAACTGTGTTTGCTTTATCAGTCGATACGCTCGAATCAAAACAGTGCTTTACTACAGAGCCATTAACCATAATTCCATGTCCCAAAGTGACTGACGTCTCTATACTATTTGTAGACCCTTGCCCATTTAATCTTGAAATTTTCTGAGCCCATGTTGTCCTTGACAATGTCGAAGGCAAAGGCAAGGAATGCAGAAGCCGAACTTGTTCTCCTAGGAAGACAGCTGCTGCTGCGTAATCTCCTTCTGTCATCATATCCATACTGCACAAAAATGAAAATAAAGTTAGTTGAACAGTTAACAACACCCCACAAAGATGAAAGCAAGTCATTAAATCGCTTCCAAAGCTTCAATTGACGCATCAACAAACATGCACGTGCATCACCACAGAAACAAACAAATATCATTTTCCCCTGATTGAGATATCTACTCAATTCCTGGAAGCAATTATCAGATATCATGACGAAACTCTGCATCCAAAATGCATACGTCATCTTCATGGCAAACATACAAGAAAGGAAAACTGCGAAAAACATGTTTCATATCAGCTAAAATATTAAGTAAAATGTTCAGAAGAGATGCTGAAAAGGAAGGTACGCACACACGGTCCATATTGGTGCCATCGCGGCGTTTGTGAACAATGTAAGGCCAAAAAACTGTTTCATCATTCAGCCCGGTGATTTGGTTCTCATTGTATTCAGCGTCTTTAGCATTGTCATCGATTGAAACTTTTGCAAGCTCAGCCTCTGAACAATTGGTCCTGTATCTGCTCTTATCAAGTTTTGAGATGTTTCGACTTCTTTTCATTCCAACACTGTGTGCCTCAACGACTCTTGAACAATCCTCATACCCATTCCATGGTTCCACTTTATAGTCCTTGCCATCTGGCAACACGATACCGCTTGCAACTAAAGAGGGAATTGTATCCTTTAATGGTGAACCAGTCTCGTTCAAGAGGGAGTAAAATTGAAGCTGAATCAAGAACGCACACACAGTAAGTTTTAAGATCATTTACTTAAATTTTAGTCGACTCAACGTTCAAAACCCAGCAATTCTATAGGATTCACTTTCTTGCCATGTGATGCCGATTCAAGAGTTCAAATTCTTACGAGATACAACTGGAATTTGATTTCTGTAATTGTAGCTGGAACAGAAGATGCGTGATAAGAGGGAGGGATAGAAAAGAATAAAATAAAATGAAATAAAGATCTCAGATGCAGCCTGCATCCTTACATAAGCAAAGTTATTTGAAATCTTCCACATTTATCATCTAAGGCTACTTGCTAAAAAGGCAGTCACGGTACCTCAGTCCGCAGGCCGTCAGTAGCTACCCAAGGGCCACCTTCTTCAACACACAACTTTATTACAAAATCGCCAACAAAATAAACCTGAAACATAACCAAGTATTGAAAATGAGTATCAGTTTTCAAAACATAGAGAAATCCAAAAAAAATCTTTCAGTGTGCACACAAGGGCCTGGGTACAATCTGTGGCCTGAAGAAAGCTGACAGTGGAACTCGGTCCTCTCATTTAGGAAATGAATGATAAACAAGGAAAGATAGATAGTAATCACGGGTCGCGTTGAGGTGGATGTGGCAACCAACCTGAACAAAGAGCTAATCAACTTAGCTAAGCGTGCAGTTTCTCATGTGCTGTGATAAATAATCATATGTGGATAGTCGAAAGCGGACTTTTTTTCAGAAGTTTACTTTGTAAAATCAACGAGCACTTTAGAAGGTAAGAAACTTCACCGGATTACTGCCATTTCCAATTGGAAGCTGCTCTTCGTCAACAGGTATTGAGAAATTATGCGTTTTGCAGATGGCAATGACTCGATGTAGCCACGATTCCGCATCTACTGCGAGGCATGCACACTGCTATCGAAGGTCATCTATCCGGTACGGTAGTTTTTACCATAGAAGACAAATCTCATTGAAAGTCATTGAAAATCCATAGAGAGTATCGATTTGCTAGAGGAAGATAAGTTTTACATATCTAAAGCTGTGCACAAAAAAGATCACATGCAAGCAGAATTATTAGAAGTCGACATCTAGTCACAAAACTCCTTGAAAGGAATATATCAACATACCCAGCAAGTGCTTAATCAGATGGGACTTTACAAAACATATAAACTGACCTTCCACAGGCGCACATGGAGATCGGGCCTAAGTTTCCATAGCTGACGAAGCCAATGCCGCAATTCACTTCTATCCAAATAGCCGTCCTTGCTCGTACTGGAAATATAATGGTTCGACTCTTTTTCTGTATGTGTTGCTAGATAATCCACATCAAAATATGAAACGTAGCCGTCTGGGTCGTTAAGGTCACGACCCAATTTTTCACCTAATAATTCACTTGCATTTGCATTGCACAAATTCCTGACAAATATCAAAACTTGTTCCATCAACTCCTACAAGCACCCAGAACTCCATGAAACCTTGAAAAATGATAAAACTTCTGCCTAAACGTTTTTCGTAAAGAGGACGAAACATGAAAGAAAACATAGAGCACTCTGACAACTGACCACCCACTTTGTTCACTTTAAACAACAACTTGCAGTATGCCAATCCTGCTTTCCGGACTAAGTTTTAAAAGTAGAACTAAAACTAAAACTACAACCCGTGAGAGGAAGATGTCAACCATAAACACCCGTTTTAAACTACAAAACACTGTAGTTAAGTGAACAAAAAACTTAGATCCTGAATATGGTGAATGAGCGTGGCTTACCCTTCCACAAAAGCAACAGAATTGGCACAAAATTCCTCGTTACTTTTAATCCGCTCGGCTGGTTTATCCTGTCTGCCCTGTATCGCGAGATGACCTGCTCGAGCAATACCTCGATGGTAAAATCCAGGTGCCATATCCAAACAAACGAGTTCCAAGTTTGAGGAATTTACGTAATTCTGAGTTACAGCCACGGAATCATCAATATTCAGCACACAATGCCACCACCCACTCGGTACTGAAATAGTTTCCCCTGGCAGTTGGGTACACTCCAAAGGTTTGTCTTCATCCCTCAGTGTTGGATACACCTCCAACCACCACTGCAGATGAATCATAGACGTTAAGGGAAAAATGTGCGATCTACACAAAAGCAGTAAAATTTAACGAGGCTAAATTTCAACCACTCTGGCTATGCTTCCAGTAACATGCTAGAGTCTAGCAACAATTTTATATTGAATTGTGAAGACACACAACCCAGTCCATTATCATGCTATAATGTAGCAAATACTGTCGCGTGTGGCCTATTACCTGAAGAGATGTCGGCCCATCGAAATTTACGGAACCATCATCCAAGTCAACGTGAACAACCACAGCTGGTGGTACTCTCCCCGGTGGATACAAAGCCCATCTGCAAAATGACACTGAAATATTATACCCTTAGATCGTCGAAAACAAAATCTTTCATTTTACATAGAATATGGTCATCCTGAATGAAATAAGTGGCAGTGTATCCCAAAACTATATACGGCTTTGTACTAATCCGCTAGAGCTGCAGGAAAGGAGTCCATTATGAACTGTCTCACAAACATACATAAAGCAAGGATCATGAGCGCTGCACACCTTTTGCGTCCCGAGAGAAGAGTGTTCCAAGCGCTTGTAAGTGCAGGATCTACATGCCATGATGCTCCAGACCTTGCAGGTCCAGCAACCAACCATCGGAAAGGAGGACGAACAGACTTGTCCAGAACCGCAAGCAGATCCTCTGAAAAGACCGGTGGTATACTGTACTCCTCCAGCATGTCAGGCGCGGACTCTCCAAACTAGAGCATCAACCACAAGGTGAATTTTCTATGAGCTATTCTAAAAAAGCAATTCATAACAGTAGCAAACTTGCACCACACATACCTCTTATCTAGAACAATGCTTGGTTTTCAGTCAGTACCCTGCAGGGAAGTAGAAATAAAACTGAGATCTCAACCCGATTGACATGAAAGACTCAAAAACAGGACAGGTGTGGAGGTAGACATAAACCTCGGCATCAAAGATGTAAAGAGGCTCTTCATCGTGTTGGCAAGCCATGTATGTGGCATAATCCTTCAGTTTCATCTTGATTCTGCTGCCATGAGCTTGAGACACTTTAAAACCAACATCCCCATATTTATCTACTAACTGAGGCCAATTCCACGTCTTCTGAGCTGGCCAATCTTTCGTTAAATCAGTAATCAAGACCTGCAAAAGTGAGCGTTACCATATCATACCAAGAAACGACACTCGCAACAAGTAATTTTCATTTAGATGTACCTAGTATAAATGTTTGTTATATTAACAAATAAATAAATAAATAAACATATTAATCTCACCGGCTTCTTGCCATCGTATTTAGAACGAAATTCTTCCAAAGAAAGATTCTTCTTCCGATCAATAACACCAGTGTCACAAGCAAAGCTCTCTAATGCCATGTTGCACCGATACCATCGTTTGTACAGAAACATCGAACTGAAACCTGTTAAATTTACGTCCAGAGATGTCATTCTATAGAGGAATGAGCCATATCAAAAACAAACAAGTTGTCCAACTAAGGGCACGATCCGATTGATCACAAGAGACCAAAATGAGCACACTCACCATCAAAGCGCATAGGTGGCTTCACTAATCGTGTCCCCTTTTCAACGTAACCCAGCCTGTGCAAGAAAACAATCTCAGTATCACCAAAAATAAAATCCCCCCGACTGTGTATAACTTGCTAAAAACACGGAGAGCCAAGGTATCCATGCCCTTTTCCGATACGCAATTGACAACTAGCCGGAACATTGAAAGGATTCTAAGTTCCTCGCATGGGGTTTGAATTCAGAACAGAAAATTGCAGAAATCAAGTTTCCAGGACTAGTTTTCAATCTCTAAAATTCACCCATTCAACAACATGTATTAGACACGAGCAGAAATACCCACTTGATCAAAGCTGACTGGCGCCATGAGCCTTCGAAGTCCAAATATCCCCCGTGATATAGATCAAGGCATAAATCCATCCATAAGGGCTCCTCATCGCAGAAGATGTAGAACACGCTGCATTGGCAACACGGAATCAATTAAAACCATTGACCTTGGAAACTCAATACAATCTTGAACATCAAATCTTCATGAACTTCGTAAAATCAGGACGGAAACTTCACCAATAATCTGCCATTAAACAAATATCCATGAGCTGCAAAGACAATTCCTTCGCCACAGAACCTCGTACCTACTAACGCAAGCCAGAACACCGACGGTTCGAGGAGGCAAAGATGCAATTATCGAACACAGTGTCTCGTCGGGTAAGACACAGAAATCTCCCAGCGCATCTGGTCTACGATCTCTCGGCTGCCCCATTCTTCTCCCCGCTCCGTGATTCGAATACCAAAACGATGGAACTAGGAATCCACAATCGCAAACAACTAACGAGCAATGGCGTGGCTATGCACAAGTGGTTGCGAGTTCAGAAAAAATCGCTGGCCATTCGCGAAAGAAAGCTTTCCTAAATTTCGAAAAAAACAAAATGCAGAGGAAACATGAGCTCACGCCTCAGCAGTGAAGAAGTATTACCGCACAGCACATCGCAGCAAAGCAAAGCCATAGCCACAGGGTTTGGAGCTTTCCGCACAGCTTCACAACAACGCTTACTGGGCACAAACAAGCGCTGCCGCGGTGTCGCCGCCATGTCACGTGACCTCTATATTTGCGGCGGTCTTCCGCGGCCGCCGGCGATACTTGGCGGCAAGCACCCAACCAGGATGTTTGAGCACACGAGGTCTCTAAACGAATATTATATCTTGTATCTGTTGTATTTTGTAATTTTGTATTCTCTACACGAATCTTATGTCTAATGTATTTCAATTTCTATTACAAAAATTATTGAATCATATATTTAGAAAGTATACTTCCACTTGAAGAATTGCCATTGTAATAAGAAAATAAGTGCTACCATAAAAATAGGAAAAACAAACAAACAAACAAATAAAATTTCTATTTTAAAATCTAAATTTAATATATTAATGAGAAGTTACAAATTTCTAAAAGAAGTGGTGATGATAGAAGAATAAAGTAATGTGATTTATTGATTTTTTTTGGATTTTTAAAAAGAAAAAACTATTAATAGTATCATAGAAAGTTATAAATTTTATTGGCATCTTTACAACTATATATACAACTATAATATTAATTCAAGGTATATCAAATGACATAGAAATTTAAATTGTAGTATAATATATCATTTTAAAAATTTCATGTGTTATTATAGAACGTGTCAATAGAATTGTTCATATTTAGATTTTTTTGCTAATAATCTTTATATATTTAAGAATTAGTGGAATGGCAATGCTTACAGAAAAACATTTAGAGTCTTAAGTACTAAAAATTGCCTTGAATAGAGGACGTCCATCCTTTACCATAATTCTAAAAATTTTGAAGATAAAAATAAAAATAACATAAATCATTAATTAAGATAAATAACACAATATTTTCTTTCAAGTAAAATTACATCAATAAAAAATATATGTTTCAAAATATAATCCAAAAGTGGAATATTATACTTAATTTTAATAACTCTTATTTGTGGTGGTTGAAATAAAGATTAATTGTGTTATAAAAAAATGAAAAAAGATACAAATGTACTTTTTCAAAAATAATAGTAGAAAAGTGATAAAAAAATAATAATCATTGAATTTGGTAAAAAAATAAAAAAATCATGTATTTTCTACTAATAATATTATTTTTTAATTATTTGTTTACTTGATATAGTATAATTTGTAAAGATTTTAGTTTCTTTTACTGCTTAAATCATCTATAAATTTAAAGTAGGAAATTCAAAGAAAAACCAAAAAATTTCAAAGACTTCTAAAAAGAAAGTTTTAATATATGCATGTATCTTTTTTCTATTATTTAATAAATTAGTTAATAAAAATGTATCTTGTTAGGTAGATGATAAGATAGGTATTCTATTTATTTTCCAAATAATAATAGTTTCTTGGTTAGGTTTTCTTATCAAGATGATATAGTAAATAATGTCACCAAAGTATGTTTTTAAGAATTATAGTTTCTAATGTCTTGTATCTAATTTTATTTTATTTTTTATTTTTTTATATTTCATTATTGTGAATTTATTAAAATAATATTTTTTACAAAATTAGGTTGCAAAATTAGGTTGCAAAATTTAACTAATAAATGAATTATATTAACTAATGTAGTGTTTGATTATTATTAAAAATTGAGTTGTTCATTCAAAAATCCACTAAATTCGTGATAATAAAATTAAACATAAGACACCTTAAGAGACTTTAAATAGTAAATTAAATAACCTACATTAAAGATAGCATAATTTACATGAAATAAAAAAGTATACCACAACAAACTTTTTAAAGATTATGATCCGGTTTTATTTTAATTTTGTTTATAAATTAATAAAATGTATATATACACACACATTTTAATGCTAAACAATGTAACAATTCAGTTACATATTATGTTGCGCAATAGCTATGGAATCCACACACTTTTAGATTGCAGTTGAGATTCCGGACACCACTTGACAAAACTATCAATTGGAGACACCCACATGTCCTTGCCGTCTCAAAATGAAGTTTGTTTATTAAGGCAACAAAAATAAATAAATAAATAAATAAAATTGCTCACTTAGTACTGTAAAAAATAAAATACATTTAATGTATTATTATTCCATATTCAGTTATTTTCTTAATTTATTAATATAATTATTATTTCTTATCTCTAATTTTTTTTGATGTATAATATAATTCCAAAACTGTTGTTTTCTTGTTGTTTTATGATTTTAAAGTTAAGAAATGTATTAATCAAGACAAGATTATTAAGTTAAAAAGTTATGGTTTTAGAAGAAATTATATGATTTATAATAAAAATCCATAAAAAATGTTATTTGTATCATGTTTATAAAATTTTAAATCATCTACTTACATCACAATTAATTACGTGGTCATCAAAGTTGGTTTTCTAGTATCAAAATTAATCCAGCGAAAGATCCATCCATCAAAAGGCGGATTGATATGATACCCATCCATCTATAAATCGTTACATCCATCCATCCGCCCATCAGTCCATCCATTTCTCTTTAGAGAAAAAGGCTCCGTGCCAAGAGCAAGGAAAGCAGGAGGAAGGGGGGCAAGTCGGGGATAGGAAACAGAGTGACCACAACGACGACGACGACGAAAGCAGCAGCAGCATCAGAATCAGGCACTACTTACGCACTTACTTACTTTCTAACTTACTTAATTACGAACTTACTTAATTACTAACTTACTTACTAACTTACGTACTAACTAACTAGGGTTTTTGAATCAGTCCAGTGAGTCCGTCGCTCCGTCAGTCACTCCGTCAGTCAGTCGTCTTGGTGCCAGCACTCTCTCTCTCTCTCTCTCTCTCTCTCACTTGGGCTGGAAGGAAGGAGTGCGAGGAGGGGGGAGGAGGAGGAAGGAGGAAGGAGGAGGAGGAAGGAGGAGGAAGGAGAAGAGGAATAGGAAGAGGATCACTCTCACGCTCTCTCCCTCTACCTACCGCATCATCACCATTATCTCCCTGTCGCTATGGAATCCCAGCGTAGCTTTGCAAGGCCCAAACCTTGTAGTTGATCATGCGGTATCCCTGAAATCCCTTTCATATATGTGCTTCAGAACATCGGGTTCTGAACATTATGGTGATTTAGGGTTTGGTTGTTCACCAGACATGCCCATGATAGTGCTTAAATTCCATTTCTTCAGGGTATGAGAGCTATTTCCAGGAGATTGAGGGTTTTAATTCCGAAGACGAGGAAGATTTTTTTGTGAGCACTGTTTGGATGAGTGCTATGATTGTAGTCGATTGGATTGAAACGGGTTAAAGAGTGAGTATCATTGGGCTGAATTTTGTCGCGAGAGGGTTGAACCAGGTTGGTGTCAATTAAGGGGAGAGAAGGAATTGGTAGTGTTCAGAATTGTTTCCCATTTGAGAGTATGGCGCTCTTCGGTATACAATGCTCCTACGTGACGGAGGAGTGTTTGAAGGAATGGAAAACTACGAATACAGCTCGCAAGTTGAAGGGTGCGGTTTCTGCTGCTCGATTTGTGTTTGAGCTCTGCCAAACCCTGGTGAGCTACCTTTCTCGTTGGAACTGTTACTGCTTTTGTCTTGAAACTTTCCAGGATAACTCCGTTTGTTCAATTGCACATTGGAGTTTTCGAATAAAAAAAAATCTGTTTGAATTGCAGCTTACAATTTGTGCTGTTGAGAATTTGATATCAATGAGCTTCTATTGTTGATTGTGCATTTAGAATTTTTTTCCTGAGGTCCATTCTGAGCGCCCCCCCCATTCCCCCTCCCTGTGTGTTATCAAGTGCTCTGCTGGAGTGACCAGGAGTGTTATATTCGAATCGGGTAGATTTGCAGTTTTGTAGTTCAAACCATACGCTTTGACTTCTTATTGGTAGCAACCAATGTTTGGAAAAGAAAAAAAGAAAAATCTTTTCAGTTCAATCTAGCTGCCTTGTAATTTTGAAATGAATGGCGGTGCTGAAATACAATCGAAGGGATGTTTGACGATTAGTTTAAGCCCTATCTAACACAACTTATCCATTTAACCTAATTATTTAAAATTTTAACTATGGCCCGGGCTATTACCTTTTGCAAGTGATGAGCATTCTAGTCCTAGTAATACTCAAACAGTAATAAATTCGTAGGACTTGAGAAGAAAATTGGTGATAGTTTACTGTAGAGTTATTGGGTGGAAGATGTATAATGTCTTATATTTATGTCCTTTTGCAGGTTCTTGGGGAGCTACCACTCACAAAATGCCGAGTCGCACTGGATGCAGTGAACCTTGCGGAGCCCGCAAGCAAGGATGGAACCGCATCTCTTTTAGCAGATACCATCGCTCATTTAGGCCAAGAAGTTCGTTCTATTTACTCTCTTCGCTTGAGTCACCTCTATTTCGACATGCTGATTAAGTATGATTTTTGAATTTAAGTCAGTCACTGTGTTAGAACTAATGCTGCAGCACAGATTCAGGACGAATGATTTCGCCTTATTTGTGGTTATAAAGCTATGGAGTGAGATCATGTGATGAGTATGTGTCGAGAGTCCTCATCTTTCTTTGTCACTTTGAATCGTACCTCAAAATGTGGTTAAATTAGGTGATGATCCGTGTAGTCGTTTAACTTATCTCTTGGTTATTCCTTGTTTAACAGTTCTTCATCTTTTCATCTTCTACAACCTACACTCTTAGTTCTAATCCTCAGCAGCTGTGGAAGTTCAATCTTTCATTTCATTTCGCAAGTTGAAATTCTATGTTGCGTTGTGTGATGTGGCTTGGCAGCTTACAGTTCCTGGTGAACTTCGAAGTCGACTCGTAGAACTTGTAAGTGATAATCTAAGTCTGGTAACGTAGTATAGATAATACATCATGACCTAGCACTACGAGTTTGGAACAAGTCAACGGTCTTTATCTTTTAAACTCTCTAGATAATTAACTACTGATTTGCTTGATGTTACTAAAAAACTGGGGATTCTTTACATGTTCAGGCAAAGTGGTTGGTGGATTCAGGTTTGATACCTGTCAGGTTGCTGCAAGAACGATGTGAGGTGGGTTTTCTCTTTTGTCAAAGTTAATTCTTCCTCTCTGATTATGTTATAGAGATGTATCAGGGAGAATTAAGGTATCGCGTTTTTCAACGTGTTGTTTTGTTTTACTTGCTTTACATACTCTCGACTGAGATTCATTCGACTGGCATTTCGTTAGGCGGAGTTTTTATGGGAAGCCGAGATGATTAAAATTAAAGCGCCGGATTTGAAATCCAAAGAGGTGCGCTTCCCCTCCTGCGATTTTATTTTTGTCTATCTTTTCAGTTCTGGTTTATGTTCGCACAAAGTGCCTAATTCCAATTGTTGGGTGTAATAATTCACTTACACGACTAAGTTATTACATTTTACCATTCATGTCAATGAGGAAACATACTAACCCTAAAGATAAAAGTGAAACTTGCTTTTTTAATGTGCCCCCCCCCCCATTGTTCAACTAATTAATTTTGGTTTGGTTTCGTTTTTCTTTGTTTTGATGTTCTTTAACAGGTCAGGGTTAACACAAGACTTCTATACCAACAAACAAAATTCAACCTTTTGCGAGAGGAAAGTGAAGGATATGCGAAACTGGTATATATTTCAGTGACCTTGCTGTGCTTTCTATTATTCACTTACAGGAGTGTTAAAGATTCCCTTTGTAGTCTGAAAATAAGCCAGTAGTACTTCAAACGAGTTGCATGTTATCATAGGTAAAGCGATCGCAAGATACAGACTTTATGATACGGAATGCTAACAATGTGATGAATCTTCACTTGATGTTAACTTGATTTTGTTGCTGTTTTTATTCATCGATTCGGATAGATTTTATGTTAGTTTTATATCTCAGCGAAAGAGCGGCATTCTTGAATTTATGAGCCAAAATCTGGAAGTGCGATGGTAAATTCTATGTTTCGATTTTGTAGTTGACATTGCTTAGTCAACGAGGTCCGGATGGACTAGCGCATGAAAAGGCACCAGCAGTCATCAGTGCAATCAAGGTTTTTTTCCTTCCTGCTTTAGTCCATTACTTAATTGTTGTACATCGTATTGCAGGTTAGCAGACATGGACTGCTCAGTATGGCAGATATTTTTTAAATTGTAGGATCTAAACTTTGCTATTAACCTTGCAACTCTTAATACTGATATAAGCTGCTATATTAACCTATTTGATTAATGCCAGTAGAATAATTGGTATCTTGCAAGGTCTGACTATGACTAAATCCAGTTGCATTGTTGATGCAGTCGTTGATCGGTCATTTTGATCTGGACCCAAATCGTGTCTTTGATATTGTAAGCATACCTTTCCTTCATTTGCAAACACTGGGGTTTCAAAGGATGCCTCCAATTTTTATTCAAATTTGATTACTGGACATCACACCGTGTGGGAACGGTTTTTATAAATTTTCATGTCATCAGCACTTTTTTGTAATGAGAATCTTCTTGCAGTCTTTTACGAGGCTAAGAAGTTCTATGATTTCTTTTTCACCAATATTGCCATGAGCAATGTCCTTTTGATTTTGTCGGTTATTTTATAACAAACTTCATTACATACAAAATCTTTGTTACAGTACTGTGCAACTGGAACTTGACTATTTTTATTTTTATCATAGGTTTTGGAATGCTATGAGCTGCAACCGGATAACAGTTCATTTTTGGAGCTAATCCCTCTTTTTCCTAAGGTATTATTTACATCATTCTCTTTCTCGATAAATATTTACATTTGCGAAATATGTTTTTGCAATCCTTTGGATCGTTTTAATCATTTATTATAAATGAGAGCGCAGATGCATGGAATATCAGTGAATATTTTTGACTATTCTGATTGTAAAATGCTTTCGCCTGAGCATCTCTTCTGCTGGTTTACGGATGTCTATCTGTGTGCATATCCTTGATTCCACGCCTGATGTTGGATTTGTGACAGACGCACACAACGCATATTCTTGGGTTTAAGTTCCAATTTTACCAGCGACCGGATGTTGAAGATCCTGCACCAGATGGCTTGTACAGATTAGCAGCAGCTCTTGTTAAAGCAAATTGCATTGAACTAGATAGCATGTATGCGCCGTCACCGATCTTTTTAATCATACGCTCTCTTAGGGTGTTTTTTCAGCAACCATCCGCTAATTTGTGGTTACAGTTGCTCAATTCTGAAATCTAAGGTTCAATGGAATCTACCAAGTAAAATGTACACCAGATGAAATTTGGTGTGTATTTTTATTAAAGACCACAGGCACGAAGTTGAATTCTATATCAACGAATTAGGGGGGGTGTTATACTGCTGTACAGCTTCAAGAGCAATGACACGGATAAATCTAGTGCTCAAGTTACTTCGCATGTTTTTAGTAAAATAATCCTATCAACACTGAGTCTCGGTTACCTCAGATCCATTATTCTTCATGTAAGGTTATCATAATTTGGTGCAATGTGCAGATTAGCACATATGACACCCAAGGATGAGGAGGCTTTGCAGCAATACGAGGAGATCACAAAGAAACGAATGGAGGAGGTATTTCTCACTCTGTACACTGCAATTTCTCACTCTTAGAGATTTACAATATTTGGGGTAGATTTTGTAGTTCAAAGAAATTACCTTATAAAGAAATAAGTTAGGTAAGTTATTTTTCTTCGATTGCAGTTGAGCACTGTGAATACATAATTACCCGTTGGAAGCTGTTGGAGTGGGAAGTTCTGAATGTTTGTATTGCTAGAGGAGCGGAGACGCATTGCTTTATTCAATCTTGATATTTAATTCTGATTGAAATTTACTCTTATTTATTTATTTATTTATAAATTCCGCCATTTGATTTTGTCTCCTATGCCCTATGTTCTGAGCACTTTTTTTTGGTTCTGTAGATTTTAGTATGCTATGTTTTTACTATTGTTATCTCTGCAGGCCAATCGGATAGGTAAAATCAACTTAGCTGCGATTGGAAAGGACCTGATGGAAGAGGAGAAACCTGGTGATGTTACAATAGATTTATATTCAGCGTTGGACATGGAGAGCAATTCTTTATTAGAGAGATCTGATGAACTCTCCAGCAATCAAAAGCTTGGTCTCCTTACTGGATTTCTACATGTAAATGATTGGTGAGTTATCCTGTTAACTTGCATCGTAGGAAGTTTTTAACTTATGCTTGCATTCACTCCATTTCCGGGTAGGTACGATTACGATTCTTTTTTTAGATTACAAGTTGTGTGTTTTGGTTGTTTCCGCTTTCTAAAAATTTCACATACATAAAACCTTATAGTAGCATGATTGTCATGCTCATTCTTTTAATTAACTCCTATTGTGTCTTTAAATCAATTGTATGGCAGGGCAAGCTTAACCACATCATTATTCCTTCAAATGTGAACCGCACAAGTTTTACTTACGTTTGTATAATATTAGAATTATTTTCTGACAGGAGGTTTTCGCTGCAGGCCCCATGCACAAGTACTATTTGAACGCCTTGCACCTTTGCATCCAGTAGCTCATGAACAAATTTCCACCGGCCTTATCAGGTCTGATTTGGACCTGTTTAGTCACGTTTATGTTAGCTGTTTAATCTGCTTGATTTGCTTTCACGACTGTTTGGGAAGCTGGGTAGTAATCTCTTACTGAAAATGAATATTTGTGGTGTCTTTTGCATCTAATTATGTGTTGTAAACTCTGTTTTTTCCATTTGAACAGCAATCGTTTGACATTGAGTTGTTTGAGAATTCTTATCTTCAACTAGAGTTTTATTCCGGTTTATGAATATATTTATCCTAGTGCTTTAATATGTGTTTGCTAGCATTATGCAGAGCTTGTTGTTCTAATTGCTGTATTTTTCAATGTGAACAGAGCTATTGAGAATGCAATTGGTCCTTACTATTCATATGTTAGACCTCGTTATCTGTCGAAATTGGGCAACGGGAATGTAGAAGTACGACCAGAGAATGCTCCAGAGCTTCCCAAGGAAGTTTTTCGAATGCTTCTGTGCATTGGCCCTTACCTTCATCGCAATGCTCTTCTTTTGCAAAAGGTATACAAGGTCTTTTCTTGTTGTACATTGTTATGTTCTCTTTGGTTGTTGTGTAGCGTACATTTGTTGGATGAGTATAGATTTTGTTGATTGCAAAACCGTCAGTACTTCATAGAATTGATCTATCCGCTTATAGCATCTCCCGGAGTGTAGTGGCCTCTGTTTGTCTGAGAGATGTATATCTGCAGGTATGTAGAGTATTGCAAGGTTACTACCAGGCGGCGTTGTCAGATGTGGCTTATTCAACTTCGATGGCAATTGGTCAAAGTAATGGACAAACAGAGAAACGGCATCCACGGGAATTGCTGAAGGAGGCTAGGATGCACGTTGAGGAGGTCTTAGGAGCTTCTCTTCTACCATCGCTGCAGCTACTTCCTGCAAATCCAGCAGTTGGGCTTGCCATCTGGGACGTTATGAGCCTTCTTCCGTACGAGGTAACTTTTTGAAGAGCACGGTTGTATCGAATGATTTTAATGTATTGATGATGGTCTAATCTGTACAAGGCACTGATTATCAGTTTACCTTTTGCCGTTAATTTGATTTTTCTCATGTATTTTGCAGGCGAGGTATCGACTTTATGGAGAATGGGATAAAGATGATGAGCGTATTCCAATGGTTTTGGCTGCTCGCCAAACTGCTAAGGTAAGCTTGCAGCATTTAATATTATCTCTCTCATTTCCCTCCACGATCCAATAATCGATTATGTGGTTACCCCCTTCTGCCTTTTGTCTCCCAGATTCAAACTGCAGACTTGATTGTTCAGGGAAAGGCGTAATAATGGTAAAGTTCTGAATATTCTTGAGTTCTGTGCCAACTAGAAAGGTGAATCAGGGCAGTCTTTCATGCAGCTGCATTGTCAGTCGTTGCCTACTGGATTAATATTTGTTGATGGCTAGGAGCTTCTGTGCCTTAGGTTTATTTTTTAAATATCTGTTGGTGAATGCAGTCGTATTATGAATTTATCCAGTTTAGGAGTGGTTTAGGATGTTAATGGTTGTGATAAGTAATCATGTGATTTTTAAAAACAGTTGGATACAAGGCGTATATTGAAGCGACTTGCGAAAGAAAACCTGAAGCAGCTAGGTCGAATGGTGGCCAAAATTGCTCATGCAAATCCCATGACTGTCCTTCGCACTATAGTTCACCAGGTATTTAAGTCGACTTGTAATTCTTTTTCCAGTGCTCCGACTAAATTATAAGGACGGAACATAGAGCCATAAAGTTTTTTTGGTTGTGAGTTTTAGAAGGAACGTGATGAAATGAGTTTTTCTGACGTCAAATTAGTGGAGATGGTTTATTACTAAGTAATCTCAAAACCGTTTTATTTTAGTAAGAAGGGTGTCGATCCGTGTTAATTTAAAGCTCCCAAGAATTAAGTTGTATCTGCTCTAAATTGTTCTTTGCAACCTATCCTTGCCGGTGTGTTGTATGCACCGGAGATGCTAGTTCCTTTTCGCTGCTAAGTTCGTCGCAACTGTCAGTAGTTCGTTTACTACAATGTTCTTGTTGGTAATTGATGCGTTCTTTTTGTTTATTTATTTATTTATTTATTTAAGGTGCTTTAAAAAAATAGTTGACCGTAGTTTTAGTTAATAAACAAATCATCATATAATATATTAGCGAGGAATTCAGTTCTCATTTAAATTGTATATTAAAAATTGTTTAAATTTACTATGTGATTCAGATTGAGGCCTACAAAGACATGATTGCGCCGGTTGTGGACGCTTTTAAATATTTAACACAAGTAAGTACTCATACATGTTTTAAAGAATTTATTTTATTACTGTCTATGATTTTTAATATCCATTAGTTACCTTCAGTTGATAACAGTTTCTAAAACCGTGTTTAGATTTCGAGTATTTTTTGGAGTTGAAAGATTTTTTTTCTTCTAAATTCATTGTCAGATGTTTGGTTGTGTAACTAGTCATGATTAAATTTCATGTTCTTTAAAAACCCGCTAGATCTGTAAATATTGTATAACTAGCTACATAGTTATATGAATAAGTATTGTGCAGTAGAGAAAATGAAAGTTAATCTTCGTGCTTGAAGTTTATATTCTTCTGCTAGTTGATTAATTACAGAGCAGGTGGTGAACATTGATAATTAAATTCCTTGCTCTTATATTCTTGCAGCTGGAGTATGATGTGTTGGAGTATGTAGTCATCGAGCGGCTAGCACAATGTGGGCGTGAAAAGCTAAAAGATGATGGAATTAATGTATCAGATTGGTTGCAGTCGCTTGCTTCTTTCTGGGGGCATTTGTACGTATTTTTCTTTTATTAATCTTTTAAATGAATTTGGAAAATTTGATTGCTATTCATGCCTTATTGCACGGCCTAGTTATGTGCATTATGAGCAGTTAGTTTGGCTCTGGGATCCGTTCTTTTGACGATATCTTTTCTTACTAGTCTCTGAGAGTTTATATCATACAGTGACTGAGTCTATTTAATTCTTTTTAATGTTAGCTTGTTCAAGTCTCATAATTTGTGGTGTTGGCTTGTAGATGTAAGAAATACCCGTCCATGGAGTTGCGTGGGCTTGTTCAGTATCTTGTAAATCAACTCAAACGTGGGGAAGGCATTGAGCTAATTCTGCTTCAGGTAGTTCAACACTGATGTTTGTGTTTAGATGGTTGGAAAGTTTCCAACAAAGAATGAAATTCTTTAATGCTTCGTATTCGTTAACAGTTCTGTTTGACTTATTCTCGAGGTGAATCCCACTATGTTGGTTTTATTTAGAAAATCAGAAATATCGTACATTTTTATCCGTGAAATGACGGCTTAATATTTAACAGAGCCATTTGTTGTCTATTTTGTGCTTACTTGCAAGTAGTTCTTTAAACCTCTGCTAAAGCCAGACTTTGCCAGGTCACGTAAGCACATTGTCACTGATTTACCACTTATGGTACGAATGAAATAAGTATAGTTATAGTGACGTTGGTCAATATTATTGACATGGTTGTTAGTACACTGTGAGCATACTCAAGCAGGCAGCTTTGGACATTTTACAGGAGTTGATGCAGCAGATGGCTAGTGTAGAGTACACCGAGAATGTGACTGATGACCAGCTGGAAGCCCTGGCTGGTGGAGAGGCATTACGATATCAAGCATCAGCGTTTGGTGTTACTAAAAACAATAAGGTATATCCTATTTTTGTCGGATTGTCTCAAGAGAGACAGTAGAATGCTTCTGATGATCTAATCACTTTACTATCGGATTTCGAAATAGAGGTATCTCTGAATTAGGTGACCGCATTTGATAACTAATCCGGTCATTAAATTGAAATTTTGCAGGCATTGATGAAGTCCACAAACAGACTGCGAGACACGTTGCTTTCAAAGGATGAACCCAAGCTAGCCGTACCTTTGCTTATTTTGATTGCTCAGCAAAGATCATTGTAGGTGTCTCAAGCATTCTAGCTTGAAGTATCCTTCTTAATCTTCTGTCCTCTCTGTATTTCTGCTTTAACTACGACTTAACATCCAATGATGCTTCAGCTATTCAGCATAATTTCTTTTTGAAATTTCACTATTATGTACCGTATATTGGTCACGATATTGGTCCTTGCAGCTCATTTTTCTCTTTCGTTGCAGTGTGGTGGTCACTGCGGAAGCATCCTACATCAAAGTGGTCAGTGAACAGTTTGATAGATGCCATGGCACTCTACTCCAGTATGTGGAATTCTTATTGAGCGCTGTTACTCCTCTTTATGCTTATGCACAACTCATTCCGTCCCTCGAAGATCTTGTACAAAAATATCATTTGGAGGCTGAGGTACTTGCATCTCGTGTGCCCCCTTTATTGTGTAGTTTCTGAATTTGTATCATCTGTGCTCGAGGTTAGAGTTGCAAAGAAAATACATTGATTCCTATGTATGATCTCCTTAAACCTGGTGATATGTGTAGGTTGCTTTTCATATTTACAGGCCAATCATGAGGTTGTTTAAACCACACAAATCTTTTGCCTTGGGTTGGCCTGCTGATGTCACAAAGCCTTCAACTGAAGGTCAAGGGAAGGATGATTCGGTCACTGTGACATCTGAGTTGACATTGGACCTTGGTTTGAACCAAAAGAGTGTCAAGTAAGCTTCCTGCACTTTCATACCTGAAATACTCTTAATGAAAATGATGTCGTCCAGGCAATTCGTATTACCATCTTTTTCTATATACTTCCCATGAGATAGTGATCTGTGGACTTTTATTTTTAAGATATGCAACGCTCATGTGCTACACCGTCAACAGTTTCTAGTGTGGTCCACGCTAGTCTCGAACTCAGATTCTCAGCCCCGTTACCGTTATTATTGTGGACCACACTAAGTTTAAACCAATAACATTTCATTTTCCTTGCAAACTTACCTGACCAGGTACTAGTTCGGACTATACTAATATGTAATCCACACTACATATAAATCCTCAATAATTACTGTTGCCGGTGTAGCCTTGGTTCTTTATTGAATGGCAATTGCATGATGTTAAGTAGCATGTTTGGTATTCTTTCTTTTGCTTGTATGCATGATTCTGTTTTCTAGCTTTATAATTGCATAATGAGTGACAGCTTTTTCCATTTCAGGTGGTCCGATCTGCTTGAAGTGATAAAAACCATGCTTCCAAACAAAGCATGGATGAGCCTTTCTCCGGAGCTCTACACTACCTTCTGGGGTTTGACCCATTTGGATATTTATGTACCGCGAAAAAGGTATGAAGCAGAAATATTAAAGCAGCGAATTGCACTTAAGGCGCTCGAAGAGAACTCAGATAATTCGCATGCAGCTATTGCGAAGAGGAAAAAGGACAAAGAAAAAATTCAGGAAGTTCTTGACAGACTTTCATCTGAGTACCAGAAGCAGGAAGCAAATGCTGCAGCTGTGCATCAGCGGTTGGTAAGAGAGAAAGACGGATGGTTAGCTTCTTGTTCTGAATCGTTGAAGATCAACATGGAATTCTTACAACGTTGTATTTTCCCAAGATGCGTGATGAGTATGATGGACGCCGTATACTGTGCAAGGTGTGACAAGCGACTCTCTTGGCTTTGTCATCCCACTATTCGTGGTGCTATTCTTCGTTCTTATAGTTCTGGAAATGATACCTGCTAGTCTTTATTCCACAACTTTTATTTAAATACCAGAAGAAACATTTAAGAAGAAGTGATGCCTTGGTTAAAATGTGACAGTATACTGCATCTAGAGTTCGACTTGAGTATTTTAGCTGAGCTTTGTCCACCGTCATCAGCTGTTTTCTATCCAACAATATTATGAGACCTTTTGTCTTGATTTGTGCCAGATTCGTGCAGACTATCCATAGTCTTGGAACTCCGTTTTTCAACACAATTAATCACATTGATGCCCTTATCTGTAAAACATTGTTACCAATGATCTGTTGCTGCACTGAGTACGAGGCGGGCAGGCTTGGTCGATTTCTATGTGAAACCCTAAAGATGGCTTACCATTGGAAGGTTAGATTTGTTATTTTTTAATTATGAGTTGTGTTATTGAGATTGTATTAAGACCAAGCAGGGCATTTACTAATTTCTCTTGTTTATCATAACTGTAGTGATCGCACAGAATTTACCAATTTAAAAGAGCAAGCTAGGTTTAAATTGCGTTCTCGAATTTCATGTGTCCATGTGTAAGCAGAGCTCCGAACAAGTCTATGAGAAGGAATGCGGCAACATGCCAGGGTTTGCTACTTTTTACCGGGATCCAAATAGCGCACGCGTGACTTTTGAGCAGTACGTTCGGGTATGTTCTTTTTCCCATGAAAGTGCAACCAAACTGAGTGTCTTTTTATGATACGTTAGACAAGCTATGTAAAATTTAATCAAACTTCTCATGGATTTTCCCAGTTTTTCCGGCTTACGGTGTTGGCTATTAGGTTTGCGGATTATTCTGAGCAGTATAGACTTCTGTTCTTTACATTGGAGGTTGACTCTATTGGCAGGTTCATTGGAAGTGGAACTCACGGTTGACGCGCTTGCTTATTCAATGCTTAGAATCTGAGGAGTACATGGAGATACGAAATGGACTCACCGTTTTAACAAAGATTGCTAGCGTGTTCCCCGTGATGAAGAAGAGTGGAGCCAACCTCGAAAGAAGGGTTTGTTTCATTTGACTTTAAAGGCTTGAGTTCTGTTCCACCGTGTTCGATCTTGATCAAGATTGCATTTTAGTTCAATGTTTCACTTGTAGTTGTCTCAGTTGTCAATTATTCATTTTACTAGGATCACAATAATGAGGAAATAAATTGCCTTGATTGTGTAGGTCCTAAAGATCAAAGGAGACGAGCGGGAAGATCTTAAGGTTTTGGCCACTGGTGTTGCAGCTGCTCTCGCTTCACGCAAGGTATATCTCCTGACAAATATTCTCTATTTTCTGTTTTGTTGTCACTACCGCCTTACGTTGTCATTTGATCAGCACAGTACCCAGTTGTTCACTTGCATTGGTTGTTGATAGAATGCATGGGTTCCTGAAGAAGAATTTACAATGGGTTTCGTCGAGCTAAAACCACTCACCGCAAAAGCTGGTACCCAACGAGCATCGTCCCCTACTGCTTCCTCTGCAGTATCCGCCGAGGTTGTAGCAATTTCATCTAAAGAAACAGGTAACTCTAAACCGGAAACTGTTAAATCTGTAAATAAAACAGATTCGCCAGGAACGTTACCCGCTACAACCAAGGCCGATAGTTCCAGCAAAGGCAGTTTACTCTCAGCCAAGGCTCCACCCTTTGTGCCCTCTGCTTCGAGTAATACAGGAAAGTCAACAGTTTCTTATGATGGGATACCCCCTGCTAATTCCAGCCGCAGTTTTGCGCAAAGTTCTACTAGAAGTGCAGCAGATGCTCAATCTCGTGGAGTACAAGCAAATCAGGCGGCGACTGTTGCTAAAGGGGAGGAAGCGACCTTCAATCTTTCGAAGACATCAAATGCTGCTGATCCCGAGGTAAGAATTATGTTGTGTACCTGTAGTATGAGGGTATATAAAATGAGGAGGGTTATTAAGTCAATGATTTATTTTGTAAAGCCTCTCTCTCGGTAATCAGCTGAGTGGCATTAATTAATGAGCTCCATATGCTCGAAAAGCACATGTTTGCATTCTCTCGTATTAACTATTTTTCCTTTTTTCAGGTTGGTAGATCCAGTGCTCGGAGACCATCTATGAGTGCCTCGCATACTTCCATGAAGTGAGTCCTTCTAAATCATTAACATATTCTGTAGTATTATGTTCTATCCTGCAGATTCATTGCAAGGTTTGCTAATTTTGGACTCTATTTACTCGTGTTCACCTGTTGTTGATACTGAACTTTCTTTACAGGGATGAAACTGCATCGAACCGAGCAACAGCAGCTACCTCTCCAGGAAAGCCTGAGCGGGAGGTCCGCTCTGAGCCTGGAGGAAGTTCACGTTCTCGCACCTCATCAGCAGCAGTGAATGCAAGTAACGGCAGTGCCGGTGGTACCGCAAGTGGTTCAGTGAAGGCTCAAGCTACCGTGTTCAGCAGGGGAGGGGAAAGAGGTAACCAGGATGGCGGATCTCGTCGCACTTCAGATCTAAAAAGTGATAGTAGCAAAGTCGCCGAACCTGACATTAAACCGGGAGATAGGGAACAGAAGAAACCTGAAGCAAATGATACGTCCACGAAGGGGCCAGCATCAAAATCTCCAGTTCAAAGAGAAGACACTAGTGCCACGAGGTTAGGTTCGGGAGAAGAACTGGTAAGGATCAGAGAGAAGAGGTTTGCATCACAGGATGATACTGAGCGTGGACAAAAACGGCGAAAAGGACCGCATGGTAGTAGTGATAATAAGGCAGAAGCTGGAGAACTTGTGCGTCCTTCCGAAAGAGAGCGCTTTGTTGATCAGCGAATGGCGGAACGGGATTCTAGTCGCGCACACGATATTTTTGAGAAGGGACCACAAGATCGTACGCTGGAGAGACCACGTGACAGGAGCAATTTAAGAGGGGCAGAGAGAGCAGTTGATCGTGGTGAGCGTGACTCTCGGCCTACAGAGCGGGTACCGGACAGGTTAGACAGGGACCGGGGTGATAACTACACCAGTGACCGTCACAGGGACAGGTCGATCGAAATTTTTGGAAGAGAGAGATCTTTGGATAGAAATTTAGACAGGGTCACTGATCGCGTATTTGAACGAGGCAGCGAGAGGATAAGAGATGACAGGGTAAAGGATGAACGAATAAGACAAAGACATAGTGACCTACCCGGAGAGCAACCTCATCCAGATGACCGGTATCCCATGCAGAATCTGCCTCAGAGGCTGCCCCCTCCTCCACCATACCCTCCAAACACTGATGGTCTAAACAGGATTCCAGTTGAGGAGGCACCGCAGGGTCGACCAGGTCGAGGTGTTCAAATAGGGCTATCACCACGTCCACATGAAAAGCTGGACAAGAGGCGTCCAGATGATAGCGGAGGTCTGGAGGAGCCCAGAAAGAGGCGGGATGATGACGCCCGGAATCGAAAACGCATGGACGATAGGGAAATGCAGGCTCTCAAGGTCTATGGGCGTTCGAAATTTCATTGAGGAATAATTAGTTCAATTGTGTTGCATATATCATACATCGGCGTACTTGAGTCAAATTTTTATTCAGCGCAGGAGTAAATGATACTGCGAAGTTTCTGATTGAATAGTTTTGCGTGAATGATGTGATTTGTGTAATAAGTGCTTACATCAGGTAGTTGTTTTGTAGGTGGATCAAGACAGAGAGCGAGCGAAAGAGAAGGTAGATCAGATGAAGGACGAAGACCTGGGTTCAGGTTCAGGAAAGCGACGGCGTAAATGGCGTGACCCATCGGCAGCGAATGAAATGTTGAGCTTTGCTCCTGCAGGTCCTCTTATGACCGGCCCTGCCTCTCAATACGAGGGTCGTGATCGGGAAAGAAAGGGTGGTCTGCTACCAACTCGTGGAGCTCCCCACATGGATGATACCTCCTATGACAAGGGTCCAAGCAGTGGGCGTGTTCACGGGAAAGATGGCTCCAAAGCATCAAGACGAGAGCACGAGCAGTATCCTTACGATGATTTTCGCGTGTGTTAACTGAAATGATGTTGATGTTTCATAAAGAAGTATTGATTCAGATGATATTTTTAAATTAATCATATGGGATTTTTTGGTGTCCAGATTACGCCACATTTTGATGCCACTCACAAGAAATCTTTGGAATTCTTTTCCTTGACATGACAGTGCGAGGTCTATTGACAGGGATTGGGAAGAGGAAAAACGACCTAGAGCAGAAGTGAAATCACGGCGACATCACCGCAAATAAACTTGCTAACGAAGCATATCAGTGAAATATTTAATCTTGAGCTTCTTAACTGATTATAGTGCCTGTCAAAGTATCTGGCATGTTCTTCAGCCTTTTATAGAAATTTACGCAAGTGCAGTGTGCAACAGATTATTAATCCAGTTATCTTGTATGTCAGATTCCTGGTCTTTTTGACTTTCAACGTGAATTATTATAGCATGAGATATGTAGACTGAGAACTTGCATCAATGTCCAATTATTTTTGTGCCATCTCAAAATCTAAAAACATGGAACCTGTCGTATATCTTCACAATATTCCATTTAGATGCATATCTAAGCTTTTCACTATGCTCGTAAATGCGTATTGCGAGTGGCTATGAGCCAGCGGGAATTGAACCCCTAGATGTCATGAACTATTTTGTGGTCAAGTGTTTCAAAGTGGTTTTTCTAGTTGGAAATAAACCAGAGCTCATTAGACATTGGAACACTTCATTCAACAGATGACTAGTACACTAGTAAAGAAATTGTGGTTTCATATGTCGACTAGTTCAAAACAGAACCATAATCTAACAGTCTATTCGAGGGAAAATAATGCAACAGTATTGTGGACAATTGTGAATTTTCTTATCACTTCTATGGCAGCAAGTTTCTAAGGTTTGGTTGTGCACCTAATAAGTAATATAATCCTGTTTACTTCTATTTGAATGTTTATTTGTTACTGCTGGCTATTTAACAAATTGTAGTTTTTTTGTCATCAAAATACTTATGATTTGTGTTAACCTGATAAGCCAATTCCTTTACAATATTGTGGATCTGAAACCAATGAATTCCTCCCATATATGAAATTGTATTGCAAACTTTTCTTTTGACAACCATCCTATTGTTTTATGGAAGGTTTTTTTATTCTCAAGAACTATTGTTCCGTGTTCATATTACCTATATCATCATTCCTTTACCTCCAAATTTCACTATATCTTTAATTCCTTTGGCACTAAGAGTCCCCATCACAAATCTAGCATTAGCTATCATTAGAACAAAATTGATTTACTTTCATTTTGTCAACACATGTGCCCAATCATTATTTGTGAAATATTCATGATTTTGCAAACTTTTTAATTGATTAGGTGTGAATTTTGGATTCTTTTGTTTAACTTGCATCAAGGTCCAAAATTTAAACTTTGGATTTTAAGTTTGCTTGACATAATACCCTTCTCATAGTAGAATCAAACTCAATAATGTGGGCTTTTCTCTCATGTACATGCCTATTTTAGATAATGTTTCAAAGCTACCAATAGTAATTGCTTGCACACATACTCTACAATATCCTATATTGAACACTAGTAGTAGACCAAGAGTGTTCAATATAGTAGTGGTGTGTAAAGACTATATAACTAGAATAAATTACCATACACATGCTTTCAACCAAATACAAAACACTTAGTATTGAACACTCTTGGTCTACTACTAGTTATTACAGTCTTTACACACCACTACAATTTATACCATTCAATTTACTCAAACATTGCTCATAAAGTTGAATTAAATTAAATTTTGGGGTACTTGCAAACCTCTTGCAATCTTTCTAATACTCTCCCCTCTCCAACCTTATCAAAGTGCTAACTTCTATCTATTGCCTTTTAGTTTGAGAGGTGTACTTTAATGAAGCAATTTTGCCATGAGATTCAATAGTGGTGTGTAAAGACTATATAGCTAGAGTAAATTACCATACACATGCTCTCAACCAAATACAAAAAACCATTTGTGAATGTTGAATTTGTTGTTTAGATAATATTGATTCCTTGCAATTTAAATGTGAGCAAAACTAAGAGAGGTAGGTGATTTGATCCACAAGTTTCTCTCTCCCATTTGTATTGCTATACTTGTACTTTAATTGCTATATCATGACTTATTTTAGAAACTAACTCACTTTCAAATTTGATATTTACAACAATACATTAATTGTAGATCTTAATTAATATCAAGATTACTAATTTCATACTCAATCACGATTCACTGTAAGTGAGGCTCTCAAATTGGAATTAAAGTCTCACTCTAACTTGTTCTGTATTTCTCAAATTATAATGTTTAGATAATGAGACTTTGGGAAACAATTACTTGTTTCATGGTCGTTGGAGTCAGGTGAAGAACTGTGAACGCACAAAGTAAAGGAAATATCAAGGCCTCAGATACCAGAGCAAGACTATTTGCGTATTCCAGGAATACCGATCGAGACTTCACTTTTAAAGGTCTGAAAATACGCAGGATCAGAATTAGTGAAAAATGAGGCCCTTCGTCAAAAACAATTTCAACCATTCTATTCCCCATTTACAGTTACAGATTTTGTCCGTTGAAAAACAGGTAAAACGGAACAATCATCGCATAAAAGACGATACCAATATACATAACCCAAAAGAGCATTCCAGGATACCATCTTCCTTCAAAGTTTCAAACTATTAGCGCACTGTTTACTCCAATAATGAGCCGCCATATACAGCTGGGTGTAAAAACTCCGCATTTGCAGAACAGACAGCCGATTTGCTGAGGAAATGGAGTGTATAGCATCGAAAAATTTCATCTACTTTGTTGATCATGCTGAAATAAAAGCAGAGACTAAGCGTTTATGAACAAAAAAAAACCTACTTGCAACAAACAATATTTCCAAAATCTTCTGAAAGAAGCCTCTGCACAGATTGTTGGGGTGACGGAGTAACAAAGCCAACACTGAAACAGAATCCTTAACCATCCTAAGACAAGGCAATGAATGTAGAAAACCGACGTCATTCTTCTCGTGCGAAGAATCACTCGGTCGATCTGTCTATTTGCAATCAATCATATCCTTGAGCAACGGCCTGGTTTCCAGCACTGATAGCAGCGTTTAGCAGCCATTTTTTAATAAGCTTGCACTCACCGCTGTCGCTGCACCAGCTACATTCCTGCTCCCACCTACTGACACCAAAACCGATAACCAACCCACTAATCAAAAAAGTTACAGAAATATGACCTCACACAAAGCGGTTTGATTTGAAATATAATTTAAATATACACACCGCTGCACAAGTGATACCATAAACTAAAAAAATAACTTTAAATGTAAATCAGCGAAGACACTTCCAAAAGGAACAAAACCAGATAGTAAATGTGACATACCTGAAGCATATAACTGCATGATATCTATAAAGAGGATGTTTTCTTGTTTAAATCTAATACCTACTCTTATCAGCTTCTACAGAGCCACCTGCATAACATAGAAAGATGGAAAGTGCGGACATGAGAACAACACAGTAATTAAAATCAAGTTAGTAATTGCAACTACCACAAAAAGAACTATACATGAAACATTCATTATCAAAAAAACATTAGCATCGCTTCCCCGTCTGCTTGACCTGAAGAGCAGTTTATCGTTTCCAGCGAAAATTTAGAAAACGTTAAAATCCCACAAGAATCCCCAACAAATTTAAGAATCGACCCTTTGAATTGACCCTCGGAGACTACTACTTGCCACTGAAATCGGTAAACTGCGTTGTCAAATTAATATATACTGTATTCAACTCAAACATTATGACCTATAACACCAAGGTCATTACCACCGCATGGTCTACAGAATCATAATACTTATCTCGATGATACGCTACAATAGAGTTCACATCACATCAAATGCAACCTGAACAATAGGACTCACCTAAATATGAAGGGATGAGAAATCGGAAAGCTGAGGAAGCGACGAAGCAGAAGGCCTACTTGAGGCATTTGCCAACCCCTGTAGCATCTTGATCACCTCCACTACATCATCTAAATAGTACTTGGCTTTACTGGGTTTTTGACCCACAGTGCATGCGAATACCTCAGCAGAAGGAGCATGATCCATGAGAGACTCGATACTCTCAAACATGTCCTCGTCTGACCGATCATCACCAACACAAAGCACCATATCTGGCAAGGATCCATGTTCCTTCTCCATCATATAGAGCAACTTCTCCACTACAACGCCCTTACTCACGCCCTGATATGCAAAATGGAAACAAGTTCATCAACGCTATAACATGCATAAGCACCCATCTTGTGCTCACTCAAAAACCATTACTGAAATCCGGAAAAAAGAGCTCACAAACAATGTTCCGTGATTCATCATTAGAGGACCTACACTTGAATTCTGCTGCGTACCTGTGGTGTAACCTCCACAATGTGCGCACCACTCTTTACCGTGACTGGTTCATTCGCCAATACACTTTCTAGATGATCTTGCAACTCTTTGGCTTGCCAAGCTCCGAAGTCAGAGTCTGCAAATCGATGATTCCACACTAATGCACTTTCTTTGTCCTCAATGTAAGATCCATCTGTTGACTCCGTATAAAGTTGCATGACTGGCTTTACAACCAGTTTCCAATCGAAGCTCATGATCGGCACTTCACGCTCTACGAGATTCAACCGGTCCCACTCTGAGACACTGTGCAATCTGCAAGTAGCCCAGTCGGAATCCCGACTCCACCTATGAAGAATTTCAGATTGTCGTTAACAGATAGTCGGATTAGGAGAGAACGAGTCGCGGACGCTGAAAAGCCTCACAAAAACCAAAAACCGACAGTGTTTCCTCAAGCATGCCACACAATGGCCAAAAGAGCAAGCATAAATTGATTCAGAGAAATGAGTATATCTGCACCTGTAGAAGTATCCATGTTCAGCAGCAAGACCTAGTTTCTCACAGGAACTGAACCATTCCGCAAGCTTCGACCGTTGACGACCACTAACGATGAACACCACATTATTAGGGTCGCTGCAAAGTGTATTCAAAAGATCCAAAACTTCAGGGCTGGGGCTTTCTTTGTGTGATGTAGGCATCACTGTACCATCATAGTCCAAAAGTAAGGCTCTGCGGACACTCCTCTTGTATGCGGAAACAATGAGCTCAGTGCGCAGCTTCTTGAAGCTAGGATCCAGGGCTACAACCCGGAAACTTAGCCCAAAACCTATTCCATAGCACCGACGTTTAAAGTTGTCATTGCAAGTTCTCTGCAAATCCGAGATATAGGTTTTCGCCCAATATGCAACGTCGTGTGTGCTCACGTATCTGTAGTGCTTCTCATGCCGCAGGTGCTTCTCTTGATCTTTCGTCGTGATCGCAACATTCATAGCCTCAGCAACCATCTCAATGTTCCATGGATTCACCCGAATTGCACCACTCAAAGATGGTGAGCATCCAATAAACTCGGACACTATTAACATGCTTTTCTTAGCCGAAGAGTCGTTAAGATGATTTTCCGATCCCGCCAGCCGAGGAGAGCCTTCCCTACACACTATATACTCATACGGAATGAGATTCAGACCATCACGCACTGCAGTCACAATGCAGCACTCTGCGATTGTGTAATATGCAATCCGCTCAAAAAGTGGCACATGAGTCTCCACCAAGACAATCGGCTGATAGTTCTCAAACCCATACTCTTCGTTGACTCTATCAGCAATTGCATGAGCTTCATTCTTGGCCTCTTCGATATCCTTGCCTTTGCCCCTCGCAGGATTAGCAATCTGCACCATGACAACCTGTCCTCTCCACTGTGGATGTACCCTGAGGAGCTCTTCCATAGCCAAGAACTTCAACCCAATGCCTTTGAATATGTCCATATCGTCCACACCGAGAAGCACAATCCTGCCCTTATATTTCTCCTGGATCTCCCCAATGCGCCACTTCGTATCGGCAAGTTTCAGGCTCGCATCGAACTGGCCCATGTGGATGCCCACGGGCATGATCTTAATACCCACTGAGCGGCCATAATACTCTACTCCAATACTGCCCCTCTTGGACACGAACTCCAGGCCCAGCATACGACTACAACAGGATAAAAAGTGCCTCGCATAATCGAATGTATGAAACCCTATCAAGTCAGCATTCAATAGAGCCCTCAGTATCTCATCCCGCACCGGCAGAGTCCGATAAATCTCGGATGAAGGGAACGGGCTGTGCAAAAAGAACCCAAGCTTCACTTTGTTGAATCGCTTACGTAAAAAGGTAGGCAAAGCCATAAGGTGGTAATCATGCACCCACACATAGTCATCGTCAGGACTAATGACCTCCATCACCTTGTCAGCAAAAATCTTGTTGACGGATACATATGCTTGCCACCACATGCGATTGAATCGACCTCCATGCTCAGGACTAAGGGGTAGAAGATAATGGAATAGGGGCCACAACGTCTGCTTACAAAACCCGTGATAAAACTTGGATTTCAGTTCTTCGGGAAGAAAAGCTGGTACGCAATTAAAATTCTCAAGAAGGGTGGCAGCAACCTCATCCTGATCGGGTCCATCGATTTCCACCTTCAAACATCCTACGTAGACAACCTCCATTCCAGCCGGTAATCCATCTTTAAGCTGCCAAAGCAGCGAGTCTTTGTCCCACTCGAATATGTAGCTGTTTCCACTCGGATGAGGATGAGCGTTCAGCGGCAACATGTGCGCCACAACAAGCATGCGATTCTCGTCCGACATTCCGAATGACTCAGTGTTGAAGATCCCATCGCGGTGCCCGACAGGCCTGTCGTCATCATGATTGGTTCCGCCGGACGGCCCACCAGTGATGGCCGCACGCGACGAGCGGCCACCACTCGATCGAGTGAGGCCCAAGGAAGAATCACTGGATATTGTGGAATCCTCATTCAGATCCAGAAGATTACTATACGACCTTGAAACCATCGTTATACTTCCAATACGTTGTCTAATTCACCGACGCTTCATCACACTCTACACACGTATAGCACACAAGGACGGCGTAGGATTGATAATTCCACGACTTGCACCACCGTCCACGTCAACACAGCTGGGAACACGAAAGTACGTTGCGCTTCATCCAAGACGATTCAGGTAAAAACCTACAAAAGTTGGGTAGCGTATGTCAACTACTAGCTACAACGCCAACACGAGATTTCACCCACTTGCACACGCGGTCTACGCACCCCGTCTCCCTCCATGAGGTACTTGAGCAGCCAATCCTCCTGTTTCACTATAACCGCAGCGCACAAGAAGGGGGCCAGATTCTCTAATCCACTGAACAGGAGGGATCTGTCCCTAAAACCTAAATCAGGAGACTTCAAACAACTTCCCCAAATGTGACACAGCGGTGGCGGAACTGAATTTTTTCACTAAGAAAAGCCAGATCGGCAGAAACGAGGCCTTGGAAATGGAAAACCCTAGAGGAACCTCACCAGCGGCAGGGAGGAAAGCGAGCAACAAGCGCTAAAAGAACCGAGAGAAAAAAATTAAAGAAAAATTAGAGGGGAAAAAAAAAAAAAAAAAAAAAAAAAAAAACTATCGTCGACAACAGAGGTACCCACGAAGACGACTGCACAACAACCATGCGGCAACCAGCCAAGGAAGTCCGGTTGGCTTCAAAGCTTTGATCGCGAGAAGCGCGTTGCAGCGAATTGGAATGAATGTTAGAGCGAGATGCGCTAGTAAACACCCCAGGGGGGTGAGCGGAACTCCCTCGAAAATGTCGTAATGAAGGAGAGAGACAGAAAGAGACAGCGAGTAGTAGAAGAAGATGAAGAAGAAGAATGGAGACACGAGGGAGGGAGGACACAGGCCAGCAAGTTGACAGAGAACGGGGAGGGGAGCGGAAAGAGGCAGGGGCAGAGCTGGGCAGACGAGGGCAGACGTTGAACGAGGCACGAGGGAAGGGGTGGGGTGTGAGGGTGGGGAGGGAGAGCTGTGAAGAAGAAGAAGAAGATAGACTGCTACTACGAGTGCTGGTGTGTCAAGAGACAACAACCCCCATGGGACACACAGACAGACAGACAGAAGAGAATAGCAGCAGCAGGCAGGGAAAATAGGAAGGAAAAATAGGAAAATAGGAAGGAATAGGAATCGGGAAGGAATACGAAGGAACCGGAAGAGACAGACAGCGCGCGAGAGAGAGAGAGAGAAACAAGGAGCCAGACAGAGAGATAGACACAGATGAGAGGCGGGCTGGGGGGGCGGAGGGGCCCGCCAGGCCGGGCCCAGCATCCTCCCCACCCGGCATTGCGCTGATTCGGGGGGGGGGGTGGGGCGCTGCTGCGCTGGAGCTTCGCTGCATCCGGATAAGGCTGCTGAGCTGTACTCCCCCCCACCCGTTTCCTCTCTCTCTCTCTCTATCTCTAATGCAGTACTACTACTACAACTACTACTGCGACTATTACTTCCGCGCTCCTCCTTTTCCACCTTCGTTTCTTCCCTTCCTTATTTGCGTCTTCTTCTCTATTCTCTTCTTCTCCCCTTTGCCCTTTTCTCCTTTTTCCTCCTCCCCCGTTCCTCTATTTTTTGTTATTATGTATATATATCCATCCATCCCTTCGTCCCTTCCCTTTCCCATTTTTCCACTCTCTCTCTCTCTCTCTCTCTCTCTCTCTCCTCTGCTGTGCATTCAATTCCGGTTCTGGTGGTCATCGTCTTCGTCGTCGTTGTCTTCTTCTTCTGTTTTGTCATTTCGCTTCGTGTGCCGTCTCCCCCCCCCCTCCACGTAAGGCATGACATATATTATGATTATTATTGTTATTGTGGATATAGGTATAGCATCATACTTGTGTATTAATGGTCGTGTCAATACTTGTTGCTCTCTTCGTTCATCATGAAACATTTTTATTGTATTTTATTTCTTGTTTCAACCTTTTGCATTCCTCTTTTTTTTTTTTTTTTTTTTTTTTTTTTTCCTTTTTCTTTAGAGTATTGATACCGACTGTTAGCTAGTTTGATAAAAATATAGTATTCAAACTGAACAAATCAACAAGATGATGGTTTCCACTTTTCTTGGTTGTATGTGTTTGAAAGCAGATATTAAATGGCTTTTTCAAAATAGTTATCTTTGTGATTCTCTCTCTCTCTCTCTCTCTCTCTCTCTATATATATATATATATATATATACATGTGTGATTTTTGTAAATTATAATCTTGTAAGGTACTCATGTGTATTTCAAAAAGTTTTATAAGAAATTTAAATTATAATAAAACATAAATATTTTTTAATGATTTTTAAAAGACATAATTTCAAAGAAGAAATAAAAAATAAAGCATGCTCATATTATTACTTATTTTTTCATATTTATATTTCAATAATGGATTTAGAAATACCACACATCACATTCAAATAAATGAACAGTAGGATATTAAAACAAAATTAGATTTAAATTGGAAATCAGAGGCACCAAGTTTATCCTCATATTTATTTCTAAACATTTTATTCTATTTCATTTGATTTAATTGTTAGACCTTTTATTCCTGGTTTTAAAATTTACAGTTTGCTAGTGCTTCAATCATTTAATAACGGTTATGATGCATAAATAGGTTTTAATTAGTTCTGATTATGTCAATGAAAACATAAGAATAATATAAAAAAGTAATCCGTTTATTACATTCTAAAATTTAAAATATTAGATAATAAATAATTGATGATGTAAAATATTACATGATAATTTTTTTTTAAATATTCATATTTTGATGTTTTTAAAATTTGATACTATGTCGCAAATTAGAAAATAGAAATTATTTTTCTGCGAATTATATATATATATATATATATATATATATATATACAATAAATGACATTGTGAAGAATTTTAAATAATTTAATAAACCTGTCAACCTCATTAAAAATGTCAATTTCGGAATCTAAGTGTTACTGTAGATTTAGATTATTGATGCAGTTTTCCTGTACAAATATGTTATGATTAATTCATATCATAAACACTATTTTCATAATGCAAATAATCATAATAATAATAATAATAATTTATGTCAATATTTTGTAAAGATTCACAAGAAATAATATTGTATAAAACTGGTAGATGTTTGAAAATGACCAGAAAATGTTATCAATAACAAATTGTTAATGTAGGTGTATACATACATACATACATACATTACAATTGCGCTTAGAAGTTAAAACTCATAGAACTTTGAAAATGTATATGTTACTCATTGCCCATCGCAAGTAAAAGAAGAATCCACTCATTTTTGGAAAATTACAGGATTGAAGAGAACCATTAGTGAATCTTAAAGTGGCAATCTAAATAGAATCAGAGGAATTTTTTTTATAACAGTTCTTTACAATATATAGGGAGTTCTATTTATAAACGTACTGTGGACAAATATTAACAACCAACATATACATTTTTCTGCATCAACTTTTCAAGTTTAGATATTTTCCACTTTCATTGCTCCAAAGTCATTAAATATTTTTATGGCATGATTTAGAGGAGGTAGTACCTTATGAGTATTTAACATTTGTATATGCCAATTTATCAATTTTGGCAATGTTGCACTTTAACTATGATTATATTTTCTACTGAAGCAGTATATATAAATTTAAGAGTGTTTTGAGTTTAGAAAGAGGCAAATTAAGAGAGTACACTTAATGTTGTTTATTAATACAAAAGAATCATTTGATGTGTAATTTTTTAAATATATATATATATATATATATATATATATATATATATATGATTACATTGTTCTTAATTAAAAATACATTTAAGCTCTCAATGCAAAGTTTTTTTTGTATTTCTTTTTAATGAATAAATTGATAAAAATAGAATCATTTATTAAAATAGAAGTAAAAGTTTTTAATATCCATAGTTTGTTATTAAATTTTTATCATATATATATATATATATATATATATATATATATATATAAATTAATTAGATTACATGTAAATCACCTTTAATTTAAAGTTATAAACTATTTGTTCATAAATTTAAAATACATTGTGTTTTAATCATTAAAAAAATTACATTTTTATATTGGGCTATATTAACATACAGTATCTATATAAGATAGAAATTTATTTCTATATTTGGATTTTAAGAATTTTTAGAATTTGAAACACTATCAACTAAAATTACTAGAATTTAAGTTTAAGTAATATGATTTAAAATATATATTATAGGATTTTAAAGCAAGAAATTTATAATAAGTTGCCTTTTTAAGACATGATAATTTAAAAATAGAAATTTAAATTTTTAGATCTTAGAAATAAAATGGATATTTTTTATTTTTTATAGAAAATATTTTATAAAGAATAAGATTTATGCAATGTTCTAAAAGATTTATTTTTTATTTGCAAATGGTGTTTTAAAAAATCGACTTTCTTTACACCAATTTCCTTATTTATTACTTTTCTAAAATATAAAATTTAATGTAATCACTCTTTGAGGAAAAAAAATACATCTAAATTTTTTATTCACCTAAATATATAATTTTTTAAAGCTATTTTGGAAATAAATTAATATTTGATATTAAAGATTAAAAATAATATAAAACTACTAATAAATAAAATATATTTAATTACAAATTTTAAATAAATTTATTATTTGATTTTTAAAAGATTTTAAATTTTTTTATTAAAAAATTAATTAATATTTTTTTTCAAAATATATACAAGGACCTAAATAATAATAATAATAATAATAATAATCATAATATATAATAAATTAATATTGGTATTATTTCTACAAGTTTTTCTACAATTATTATAATCTTCCATCCATCACATGCCACCTTTGTTCAAAGCCTTTCAAATCAATTAAATTTTCTTTGTTTAATATCTTTCAAAGCATTTATTTTATATATTTTTAAATTGGAATAAAAAATATTAAAAATATACATTGAGTAGGTGGCAAGTAGTGGCGGCATCAAAAAAAATTGTTGTAATATTAATGATATCCATAATAAATATATAATAAGTAAATAATAAAAAAATCACCTTGTTTACTAAGATATATATTTTTATTTGTGGTTTTTAATCTATCATCTACTTATATATAGTAAATAGATGAAATTAGCTCCTTAATACCAAAATAATATATAATTTAAAATATTTTTTTATTAAAAATATTTGCTTTATTTTTTTTATTCAAATTGAACCAAAACATAATTATTAGTATTATAGGGTTCCATAAATAATTTATATTATTGTAACATGTTTAATAAATTAATGATACATATATATATATATATATATATATATATTTAATTTGATTAATTATGAATAAAAATAGATAATGTAAAATGTGCAAATAAGAAAGCAAAATGAACTATGTATTTATTTTAGAATAGATTGCTATAAATATGCATTACTAAAGACAAGAATTACTAAAAGAAACTATAAATAAAATATAATAAGGAAAAATATAGATATTTAATTATTATTATGGATTTAATTGAACTAAATAAGTATAAAAAAGAAAAAAAGAAAAGAAAATAAACATATACATGATTGCAAAACATTTCACATGATACATACAAACAATATTTGTAGAAAAGTAGAGCAAATTTGTAACTACAAAAGATATTGTTACAAGCAAGAAGTTAAGGAATAGATAGTAATAATGCTAAGAGTTCTAATATTTATTAATTCTATTGTTAAATGTTGGAATTTTTTTCTATAATATTATTGATTTAATTGATTGCATTAATATTGATAATATCATTTTATACAAGATCATTAATTATTTAAAAATAAAACAAAAGTCATTTAATTATTCTAAAAATAAAAAAGAAATCCAATAAAAGTAATGCTAAAAAGTAGTTGTATCAAAAATCAAATGGATATTGTGAAAATAATAAGGTAAATTTTTTTCTATTATTAGTTATATATTTAAAGATTATTTATGATATTATTTTATTATATATATATATACATATATATATATATATATATATATATATATATATATATATATATATATACCCAAATTAAAGAAGTAGATAGAAATAAGTGGATTTGATAATATCTTATAGAGAAGCTTTTTATAAGAATTATAGATTTAGATTGGACTTTATACATGTTTGTAGGTAATTGATAGGTTAAAAATTTGGCCAACAGATTAATTATGTATTGCACATGTTTGTGACTTGTGGTACATGTTGGCTAT